TCCTGATCCATCCATGAGAGGAGTGAGGCTGGAGACAGGGCTCAGCTCTGAAGCCCCTTGGCCTTGGGCTCTTGGAGACTTTCCTGCTGCAAACAGGCTGTCCAAAGTCTCGAACTTCCCTGGATGAACTCCAGTCTCCTGTGAACAGGGAACTATCCTCCCAGGATAGGAGAACCAGTGTGGGGACGGGGTAGCCTAGGATAGGGACACAGGGTTGGGAGGAAGTGGCCTGGGACTCAGATCAAAAGCCATGAGCGCCTCACTTCTGACTCAGGTTAAACTCAGGGAACAAGCACCTGGGTTCAGACTCTGGGACTACAATACCCTTGAGGACCTGCAGTGCCTGCCTGGAGAGGAGCCATGGGACTTGTGAAGACTGGGGAAGGTGCCACCATTGTGTCCAGATCCCACCCCGTTTTCCCATCACCCACTGCCCAAAAATCCATTACCGGTCACATCAGGGAAGACAAAGTTATTCTTTGTGAGGTTTTGGGTTCTGGTCAAGCAGATGAATCTGTCTACCATCTTACGAGGAATTCTCCAGTTTCTACCTGTGGCCAGAGGAGCACGGTATGGCTCTCAATACTTGGTGATGGTGAGGTATTTGCCTCCAAGCCATCCCCAACCCAGGAAGCACTACCCTGACCAGGGTTCTGCACAGGGCCCAGGGAAGCTGGGGCTCACCTAGAAGGCTGACCCTGGTGATGGTGTGGCTGCTTGTTTGTCTGATGGATAGCACCAGGGAGAATTTGATATAGTCGGTCTCGATCACCTGAATGTCTTCTTTGTCTGTCTCAGATCCTGAGGGACACATATGTAAGGTACCCAAGGCAGCTGTGCCCCCCCATGCCACTCTCACCTTTGTTTTCCACAGTGAACTGCCCAGGTTTGCTTGTTGGGATCAGGGTGTAGGACCAAATGTCACAGCGCTTGCCCCTGTGGAAGAGATAGGCAAGGAAGGAGTGGGGGTGGGCAAAAGGATAAGGAAGTCAGCAAGGCCCACCCTGATGGACCATCAAAAAAAGCTATTTATTTGGAAAAACCTACACCCCAGAAGGATGCACAGAACTCTCCACATCTCCAGGCCTCTGTCCTGGGATCCTTGCAGTTACTCTGTACTCTTCCTGGGAGCCTGGTTCAGTGCCATAGGAGTAATTCTTGCTCAACCCAGCACTACCTCAGATCCACAGGGACTTGCCATGTCAAAAGGAAAGTTTCTGGTTATCTGTAGATTGCCTCCTGTGGCATCCAAGCCAACAGGCTCCAGAAATGACCAAGAACAGACTTCAGGTAAGGGCTGCCTGCCACTGTAAAGATGGAGATCCAGGCAGGACAGGCAGAACCAAGACAGGGACAGAGAAAGAGGTTCCTGGCCACACAAGAGTACCAAAAATCCATCAGCCTTCTGTCTCCAAAGTGACTCATAAGATGGTTCCCCATTTGTATTCAGCCCGTCACTGGGTTGGGCTTTTGCAGTGGTCATTAAGCAGGCTGTGCTAGACATGGTCTTTAGATGTGTTTCCTCAACCCCATGCAAGGCTCCTGGAACACAGCCCTGAGTCCTTGATTGTTTGGACAGGAAAGGCACCCCACTCACCGAGTCATGGAGTTGGTCACCTGAAAATGGCTGTTGTTTTTTAGCTCGAACAATGTGATGTAGGGATTCAGCAAGGCCCGGTGCTCTCTGTTGTAGGCTGTGCCTTCCAAACCGAGGACAAACCACTCCCCCTGAAACTACATGGCTGGTGATGGGCATAGCTAGCCCCCTCCCCCGCCCCGTATGCTGGGCAGCCCACATCCAGTCAGGACCCCCTCCTCAGGAGGCTACTTCAGGCCAGCTCTGCCTCAATGACACTGGCAGAATCCAGAATCTGCTTTTAATCTAGCAGGTAAGGGGTGGCCTTGGTCAGTAGCCATGTGGCCTTCTCAAGCCTCTGTTTGTCTCTGTTCACAGAGGGAGCAACAAGCACAAACACAGGCAGTACGGGGGGTGCTAGGAGGTGACCATGGGCTCACTCAGGAACTCTGGGTTCAGGCTCTGCCCTGGCCTCCCTGTGCAGTGCCAACCCTCCCTCCACAAGCTGGAACCCTAGCCAACTGCAACCTGTGTCTTCTCTTTTGAAAGAAAGCCCTGTACCTTGTCACTTTCAAAGTTCGACATCTGGGGAAAGCCTTGAGGCTTGGTTGGAGTCTGGCCCTCCAGGATTTGGGGAAGAGTGAAGATCAGCCACAGAGCCCACCAAGGGTCCATCCCAGCGGTGACCAGGCCCCAGAGGGACAGACAACGCCTGACTGAGGAGTGACTATTGGTGAAACTTGCTCAGAAATCTGTCTTTTCATGACCCACCTGGCCAATGCTCCTCCCTGGGAGTGTGGCAGACCAGGTGGGCGTGGAGGGAGGGCAGGGTTGACCCTCCTCAGACCCTAAACACCTTCCAGGGTTTCTTGGGTCCCAGTCAAGGAAAAGAAAGCCTGCTGGGTCCAACTGAGGCCATCTTGTGACTCCAACACCTTCTCTAAGTGTCCCCACAAATGTGTCAGAAACTGCCCACCTCTACTCTATCTGACCTTCATGCCAAAGAACAACTTGTTCTAGGCAGGGGTCATGGCTACCTTTAGTTTCCACAGCTTTTTACGCATGGATCAGGCCTGATAGCCTCCAAGCAGCTCCACAGCTGCCCCCCCACCTGCCCCCATGTTCTAAAACCAGTGTAGCAAAAGCACTGCCTGTTCACTATCAGAACACAGAGCTGGTAAGAGGGAGAGGGAAGGGCCTTGGGAACACCAGGGCCAGGTAAGAAGTACTGGGGGTATTTCAAAGGGACCTTCCATGCAGAGGGGAGGGGAGGGGATGGAGAAGGACAAGGTGGGAGTGGGGCTCTTATGAAAGCAGGCACAGTAGGGGGCGGGGCCTTTTGGAGTCTCATTCTCTGACAGCAGAGCCCTATAGGGTAGAGCCCCACGGGAGCAAGGTCTATGGGAATGGAGCTCTATGGGAGTGGGTCCCTGAGGAAGTGGGGTCCTATAGTTGCAAGATGCTACGGAGCAAGACCCTAAGTAGGATCCTGCTGGAGGCTATGAGAGGTAGGTGCTATGCTCTCCCTGGTCACAGGCTGTTGACTCGAGAGACAAGCTGTGCAAACTTAGAGTAGGTGGTTCCTGTCTGAGCTTTCTGAAGGAGGTTCAGAGCCATCTCAGCCTGTTCCCTGTGCTGTCTTTTCTGCAGGGCAGGACACTTAGAAAACTTGAAGAGCAAAGCAAGGACAGACCAGGCCTCCAGGCACAGCCCAAGCAGGGCTTTGGCAGGCCAGGCCTATGGAGACTTCACAAAGGGGACTTGCCCTCAGGAGATAAACCCCATAGTGACCTAGGGCAGGGCCCTAAGAAGCGTCCTGGCTTTGCTCTTTTCCAGGTCTTGGAGGCCACTGTACCTATTTTACCCCATTTCCCCAGGGCTGTCCTGAAATGAAGGGTGGGCAGCCCAGTGTGCCATACTAAATTTATAGCAACAACAGTCCTGTCATCCTGAGACGGCAGGGGATCTGGGATCCTGTGTAGCGTCCTGAAACTGATCAGGGCCTTCTACATGACCAGGATTAGGGGGAGGGGGCAGGTGATGACATAGACACCCATGCAACACTTGGAGATGTAGACAGCTCAGGGTGGAGATCATCCCACTGACAACTCCTGCCACTCTGGAAGCATATCCCTTCTGATCCTCCTTCTCTGTGCCCAGGACCCCTCCATGCTCTTTTCCTTCTGCCTGCCCACTGTCCTTTGTCCTCCTCAGCTATCTCCATCTTTCCTTACGATAGGGACAGTCAGAGCAAACCACCTTCTATCTGCCCTGTCTCCCCTCTCTGGGAAGACTCCTGAGTGCTGCCCTCTGCTCATGTCCCTCACCCCAGAATTCTTTCCCAGAACACTATCCTGAGTAGCAGGAGGCCCTGAGAGGACTGTAAACTGCCTTCATATGCAGGGGCGATCTGTCCATAGAGCATCTGGGTGAACAGGAGGGCAGGTGCACTACTGCTTGTTCCTGCCTGTTGAGAAGGGGCACAGCACTTCATGTCCAGGCAAGGCAGGACAGGTCAACTGCTCTGTAGCCCCTCTAGGTCAAGTCCTCTAATCCTGTGGTCTCAGGCAAGGTGATCAGTTACATATTGGCTTCTACAGATTTTTAAAGTTTTTTCTTCTTAGATATTATAAATTACCTATTAGAATTCAAAATTGATATAAAATTATAAGAAACATTTGTGTATGAATATGTGTATGTATTGTATACCATGCACACGTATGTAAGAGGGTGGCAAATATGCAAAGCAAGAGAACACTGGGTGTCTTTTCTGCCTTATTCCATTGAGACAGGGTTCTCACTGAACCTAGAGCTATGCTGAGAAGCAGCAAGCTTGTCTGTGTCCAAACCCTTCGGTGCTGGGGTTAAATATAGGACTGGCCATGCCAGGATTTTTTTTTTTTTTTCAAGACAGGGTTTCTCTGTGTAACAGCCCTAGCTGTCCTGGAACTCTCTTTGCAGACCAGGCTGGTCTCGAACTCACAGAGATCCACCTGCCTCTGCCTCCCAAGTGCTGGGATTAAAGGCGTGCGCCACCACTGCCCTGCATGCCAGGATTTTTACACTCGTTCTGGAGATCCAAACTCATGTCTGCATGATTGTGCAGCAAGCATTCTTATTCACTAAGCATCTCTCCAGCACCGAAGGGTTTGGACACAGACAAGCTTGCTGCTTCTCAGCATAGCTCTAGGTTCAGTGAGAACCCTGTCTCAATGGAATAAGGCAGAAAAGACACCCAGTGTTCTCTTGCTTTGCATATAACAAATATTTTAAAATGAAAAAGATATGCATGGGCAGTAAGATAGCTCAGCAGGTAGATAATTTGTTTCTAGGCCTGTCGTTCTACATTTGGTCCCCAGAATCTATGAAAGGTGGCAGGGGAGAACCAACTCCTGCAAGTTGCCCTCTGACCACAAGAACATCCCCCAATCTGTCAGGCACACACATACACATATGCACACACACAGTGTCCTCAGGTTGGCACAGAAGCTAATGGCTGCATGGTCCATGCTCAGCTCATTCAGACCCACAAGGCAACAAGGCAGAGATTCAGAGTGCTGGGTCTTGGCTGCGTGATCCCAAGCCCAGAGTGAGGCCATCACTTTCTGTTAAGAAACACAAGACAAGCCCGGCGTTGGTGGTGCACACTCTTAATCCCAGCACTCGGGAGGCAGAGGATCTCTGTGAGTTCGAGACCAGCCTGGTCTACAAGAGCTAGTTCCAGGACAGCCTCCAAAGCCACAGAGAAACCCTGCCTTGAAAAAAACAAAAAAAAAAAAAAAAAAAAAAAAAGAAAAGAAAAGAAAGAAAGAAAAGAAAAAGAAACACAAGACAAGAAGGAAAAGGGAAAAGGTGTTCCTGGGACCAGGATAGGTCCTAAGGAGCAGGGTGCTCTTGTGAGCTCTATTTTTTGTGGATAGGATAGTCTCCTGAAATTCCTCCTTCCAAGGCCCCTGGTAGCCCACTCTCCCTTCAGTCCATTTTCCTGCCCTCCCAAAAGTCTAGCTGCCCAGAAACCCTGGGTTATCAGAGCCTCCTCTGGGGTAGCCGTGGTCCCCAGTGCAGCCACCCACCCCTATCGCTCTAGTTTTCATTCCTCCAAAGGGTCAGCAGACAAGACTTCTGACTTTGCTCTAGGAATCATACAGCAGTCTTGCTAGAACTAAATCTCACTCGGGGTGTCCTGGGGCTGCTAGAGGGGAGGACATGGGGCTAGCTCACCTTTGTCTTCCTGTCATCAACAGATGGCTAGCTTTTAAGCTCCCAGGAGCAAGGACTTGCCTAGTTTGTGTCCCTAGGGCCTGGGACACTTGAGAAATGCTTATCAAATGAATGCTGGAAGATGTCAGGCCACCAGCAATGTCTGAGGCAGAGGCAGGAGCAGATGCAAGCCCAGCTGTGTCTGGAATGATGTGCAGTTCCCTGAACTCCAGCCCTGGTCTTCAGAGTCAAGCAAACCATCCCAGGTCTGGAAAGAACAATGCTCCCGTCTAGAAAGGCCCAACTCCTCCCTTATGGGTATATACACAACTTGCTTCCGACTCCCTGTTGTGGCTTGATTACAGTCTGGGTAGGGGTTGTTGGGGGACAGCTATAACAGAGGTTTGACCTACATATTGAGAGCCCCATGCTCACCCCTAACTGGTCCATTAAGTAGGCTTCCTGTTCCCTGTTCCTGGGGTACAGTTTTCCATTCTGTATGCTCCAACTGTTCCCTCAAACCCACCCTGGTATCTTCCTGGCAAGCACCCCTGGACCTATAGCTCTTTAGCCTCCAGGATCAAGGGTCAGGAGGGGCTTAGAGGACTTGTTGGAAGACCTGTGTACTTCTCTAGAGAAGGCACCCTAGGCAGGGCCCTGAGTCCCACCCCCGAGGGCACGAAGTCAGCATAGTGGGCTGGGGTGGGAAGTGAGGGAAGGGAAGCGATGAGCAGGAAAAGCCTTCATTGCAGAGGGGAAACAGGCTCAGGGAGAACAGGGATTTTTGCTTCTGGACAGAAGGAGCCTTTTCGAGGCCCACCTCCCTAGGGCAGAATCCTCAAATAGCCAGGGGGCAAGTTGCCTTCCCTCCCCACCTCAGCCTGGTGTAACTCCTATCCAGGATGACAGAAAAGGTCCATGGCCAAGTTTGATGTTTACTGAAAAGCCCCAGGTTCATATATCATACAGAAATGTATGAAGGGGTTGCTTCTGGGGACAGACAGAAGAGACTCCAAGGTTCAGGGTGCTCAGAACTCTCGGAGGCCAGTCCACTGTCCACTGCTTCTCCTCCAGATGGCCTCATCTTGGGACCTCTGCAGTGGACACAAGCCTTAGCAGGGGCAGAAAGGGCCGACCCTGACCTCAGCCCCCACTGCCCTGCCCTGCTGACACCACTCACCATTCAGGATGTGGAACTGGTCCGCAGTCTCGCAGAAACCTAGGGGCCCAGGCAGTAGTAAGGGGGCGCAGGTGTCAGGCAGGAGGTGACTGGGTGGGGAAAACTCACCATATTTGGGAAAGAAAAAGATCTGGTGTTCTGTCAGGTTGGCTTCCCTGACTCGCTGCTCAAACACATCCAGGGCAGAATCACTCACGGGCAATGAACGGACTGTGGGACAGACAGAGTTCCTGTGGTTTCAACAGGACAGCTAGATCTGTCCCCACACCAGCCCATGGGTAGCTGCTCCTCCCAGGGTGCCTGCTACCCACAGTATTGGAATAGAAAGGGATTGGGGAGGGCCCATGTGTCCATCTGGGGTCACCCAGCCCATCAGGATGGCCCTTCCAGGATGCAAAGCACAAGGTCATACGTGGATGCAGAACTACCACACACCATATAGTTTCACAGACAGCTTCCTTGCCTTCTCCAGATACAGGATGGCAAAGTTCTGGTAGTCAGTCTCAGCAACAACCACACGCACTGGCACACGGGCCCCTGGGGTTGACATAGAGCCATAGTAGCAGCACATCAGCTCCTCACCCCTGCCTCCAGCCCCAAACTCTCTTGCTTGATGCCCTTGCCTACCTTGGAGCAAGAAGCGACCAGGGACCCCTGTATCTCCAAAGAGATGGCGCACCTGCCAACAGATCCCATCTCTGGGGAAGGCAAGAAGGTATGATCTAAGGAGGCTCCAAGACTCTAGGAACTCCAACCCAGGTGGACCCATATGAGAATCTACCTGAGCTACAGAGGAGCTAGGGTAAGGCGGGTTCAGGGGTTCTGATGAAGGTGGAGGCAGCCCTAGGACTCACAGCTTTCGGAAGGTGCTGACAGCCATCGCTGCACCCTGAGGAGCTGCGTGCAACGTGGTGGCCTCAGCCCGGTGGCCCTGCTCCTGAAGAAAGCGGCATGGAGAGCCCACAGCCACAAGGCGCCACGTCCCTGCAAACTGGGAGTGGATTGGGAGGGCTCAGGTCTAACTCTGGGAATGGGCATCCTGGGTCATTCCTGCCACGCTGTTCCTTTACCTACCCCCACTCACTCCCAGCTTTTACCTGCTGAGCATTGAAATTGGCCTGGGCCTGGATGGTGCTGATGGGGGATGTAGACCCAGAGGGCTTTCGGGTCCTTTGGGTCAGCGAACTGGTTGTCAAGAGCAGGGTGAAGAACAACACAGCCCTAGGGGACAACATTGTAGGCTTGTCAGGGACAGTAGGCGACAGGAGAGGAGGTGGAGGGCTGCACAGTCCTAGGTCATAGTCCACTGTCCAGTACCACAGGAAGCACAGCCCAGGAAGTCCACATCGGTCTTCCGCTTATTGAACCCCTACCCCAAGCTAGGGTCCAGCCTAGAACCTGGCCTTGCAGGAGCTTGGCACTGCGTCCTAAGTGCAAAGTCTGAGTTGACTTCTGCATCCCGATTTCCACTGGAGGTCAGTGCTCAACCCTTTGCACGCCAGTAACTGGTCTTATCAACACAGCCAACAACAACGTGCTCCTAAAGCTACTTGTTCACAGCCCAGCAGCAGAGACAGCCGGCGCAGAGGCTCGAACCCGTTCAGCTGGGCGGAGCTCGTTACTGCCGCCCTTTGGAGTAGCCACGAGCAAGTACTGTTCTATGAGCAAGAGCGTACGGTCGCGCGCGCGCAGGCGCATAAAGAAACACCGGCCCAGATTCGGAGCCCGAGGCGCAGGCGCAAGAGAGGCGGACATCGATGCCTCCGGGCTCGCGGCATCGAGCCTGGCTCCTCAGGAAAGACGCGGAGGCGGGGGCTAGAGCGGCGGCGGAAGCGGGGCGCAGCGCAGCGGGCGGAGGCGCCGCGGTGAGTCCGGCTTTGGCCCCGCCGAGCTCACCTGTGTCATCTGCCCTGTCCCTCGTCACCGGCCTTGTGTCCCATTACGCCCAGTCCTGCCGTCACCAGCCTTGTGCCACCTTTGGTGTCCCTTACTCCCGGCACTAGCCTTCGTTTATTTTCTCGGGCCTTGTCCCGGTCATGGGCCTCGCCCTAGCTTCACTGGCCTTTGCCACCTTCGCGGGCCTCGTCCACCGTCACCAGCCTTTTTCCTGCAGTGCCTACACATGTCAGCCTTTTGTCGCCTTATCTGGCCAGTAATGGCCTTGGTAGGCTGTCACCATCCTAATCCACCCGGCAGTGTTTATAGGTGAATGAAGGAGCTACTACTGCCCAGTCTAGCTAAGCAGCAAGGCCGATCCCTGCTGTCTGCTCTGATACTGAGGAACCCCAACCACTCTTACCACCCTCCTGGTCAGGCTCTCTCCTGAGTCCACAAGGCAGAGGCCACTGGCCAGGAGGAGTCTCTTCTCAGAAGAAAATCAGCCCTGGTCTGAAGTCTTGGGGCAGCAAGGTCAAAAGACAGGGTGGGGTGTCCATCACTTGGTCCTTACTGGTAGAACTTGGAGCTGCCAGTTTGGGCAGCCCGGACCTGTTTGCCTGCCTTGGCACTCAGACGTCTCGGTGGGCTCAGGAGCATAGGGGAGGTGTCAGAGGCTCCCACCTGGAAGGTATGAAGATGGGGCCACCTCCCACTCTTCAGGTTGCACTGGGCCTAGTGGTGCTGAGATGCTTACCATCGGGTACAGCAAGTCCTTCAGTGCCCTGTAGGATGTGAGGTGATCCAACATGACTGTCTGGGTGCTTCAAGAAGTGTTGGGTGGGACAGTGCTACTGGTACCCCATCTCCCACCACACATGCTCAGTGCAGTAGAATTCTTGGCTGGGCAGTTGGTGGGGCTGGAGGAACAGCCAGGGACTGCCATGTCTGGGGCACCAGGCCATCGGTCTCTCCCTGGGGTTGGGAGTGAGGAGGCCTGGGCTTAGAGCAGCCACTGGTGGGTTTCAGGACCGTCTGGGCAGAATGTCACGATGGACGAGGGGGGCATGCCCCTGCTCCCCGACAGCCTTATCTACCAGATCTTTCTGAGCCTGGGCCCTGCAGATGTGCTGGCTGCTGGGCTGGTATGCCGCCAATGGCAGGCTGTATCCCGGGACGAGTTCTTATGGAGGGAGCAGTTCTACCGTTACTACCAGGTGGCTCGTGATGTGCCCCGCCACCCAGGTCAGTACCCACACACAGCCTGCGGCCTTAGGGCAGGGGCTCATGGCTCAAGGACCTCACACATGAACCATGTTGGGGGGAGGTGTCTCTGTGATAGTTGAGACCTGATTGGTGAGTGGTGGGTTCCAGAGGCCCTACAGTACAGCTCGGGGTAGCCATGCTCTCAGCTCTTGATCTTTACTGGTAAGGGAGCCTTGAATGCAGGAGTGACACTGTATTGCCCACAGCGGCCACATCCTGGTATGAGGAGTTCCGACGGCTCTATGACATGGTACCCTGTGTGGAGGTGCAGACACTGAAGGAGCACACCGACCAGGTCCTGCACCTCAGCTTCTCCCACTCAGGGTACCAGTTCGCTTCCTGCTCCAAGGACTGCACAGTGAAGGTGAGAGTACCTCTCTCATGCCGCAGAACTCAATGGTGAGAAAAGCGGAGAGGCCCAGATAGGACCTGGAGGCCTGATCTGGACCACACAACGCCCCAAGTTAAGAACAGCTCTACCCTCGAGCTTCAGGGGCCAGCCTTCTACAGTGATAGGGTGTGATGCGAGTGGGTGGTAAGGATCTAGAATGAGATTCTTCAGGGGCCAGCCCTCTACATTGATAGGGTGTGATGTGAGTGGGTGGTAAGGGCCTAGAATGAGATTCTTGCCCCTGAGGACTCAACAATCTCAGTGGAGAAGAGTCAGGACTTGCGGTGCTGCCAGAGTGAAATGGCCAGGTAATTACCATGCAGCCCCTCTGGTGCAGATCTGGAGCAATGACCTGACCATCTCGCTGCTGCACAGTGCAGATATGAGGCCATACAACTGGAGCTACACCCAGTTCTCCCAGTTCAACCAAGATGACTCATTGCTGCTGGCCTCAGGGGTGTTCCTGGGGCCACACAACTCCTCCTCAGGCGAGATAGCTGTCATCAGCCTAGGTGAGTGTGGGCATTGGGTTGGGCTGCCTCATTGTGCCCCTGTCAGCAGCATGACCAGCTGTGGCCTTCCCCCCAGACTCCTTCGCCCTGCTGTCCCGTGTTCGAAACAAGCCCTATGATGTGTTTGGCTGTTGGCTCACAGAAACCAGCCTCATTTCGGGGAACCTGCACCGCATTGGAGATATCACCTCCTGTTCAGTGCTGTGGCTCAACAATGCCTTTCAGGTTCAGACTGGGGCAGGGACAGGCTGGGCAAACAGGTGGGGCAGGGTGGGGAAATAGAGAGGAAGGTACGAGCAGGGCTGGAGGTGGAAAGGCAGATGCAGGGTCCAGGGTAGGCTGCTCTCTAGCCCTGGCTCTCTGGCCAGCACCCACCTGTTGTGGGCCTTGGCTTATGTCCCACATAGGATGTGGAGTCAGAGAATGTCAACGTGGTAAAGCGGCTCTTTAAGATCCAGAACCTCAACGCTAGCACCATCCGTACAGTAATGGTGGCTGACTGCAGCCGCTTTGATAGCCCAGACCTTCTGCTGGATGCTGGTGACCAGGCTGGGCTCCCCTGCCGAGTCTTTGACCTAGGTGGGGACAGTGAAGAAGAGGCCCCTGACCCGGGTTTGCACACCTCTGGTTCTGGCCGTGTCAAGGAAGGTGTGCGGCACATGTTGGATAATGTGTTGGATGGACATGCACAGCTAACAGATTGTGCACTGGAGACCAAGGTGGCTGAGCTGCTGGCCCAGGGCCATACCAAGCCCCCAGAGTGTAGTGATGCTGACACCAGGAACAAGTACCTCATCTTCACCACTGGCTGCCTCACCTACTCACCACATCAGATCGGTAATGGTGGGCAGGGCAGAGCTGGGCCTGGGAGGGTCAACAACCACTGTGGTGCTCCCCAGACCAACAAGTCCATAGCACAGCTTGGATCGTGCACTGGGATACAGCTCTGGCCTTGACACACTCCATTCTGTGTAAGAGTGGTGACAACCCAGGCAGAGGATTGGTTGGCAAATGACCAGGTGGGCAACTGTGCTTGAGTCTGAATGTAGGCAGTGTTTGTGGACCACTAGGGCTGTTCTTGGATTGGGAGTGCTCTGGTGGTGATGTCCCTGCAGGCTCTGGATGACCCCTCACCCTGGTCTCCATGCAGGCATCAAACAGATCCTGCCACACCAGATGACTACAGCAGGGCCTGTGCTGGGTGAGGGCCGGGGCTCCGATGCCTTCTTTGATGCCCTGGACCATGTCATTGACGTGCACGGGCACATCATTGGCATGGGCCTGTCTCCTGATAACAGGTGGGCCTGGTGTGCTGGGTGGGACACCACAGATGGCCCAGATCCAATAGCATGCTTGTACCTAACATGTATCCCTTACTCTCAGGTACCTGTATGTGAATAGCCGTGCCTGGCCTCCTGGCTCAGTGGTAGTTGACCCCATGCAGCCACCACCCATTGCAGAGGAGATTGACTTGCTAGTGTTCGACCTCAAGACTATGCGGGAGGTGAAGCGGGCTCTGCGAGCGCACCATGCCTACACGCCCAATGATGAGTGCTTCTTCATCTTCTTGGATGTCAGCAGGGATTTTGTGGCCAGGTGTGGGCTCAGGTGGGCCCCAGGGCTTGGGTATGGGCTTCAGTAGGTGGGTGTGGGCTCATCCAGATGCTATCCCACAGCGGGGCTGAAGATCGGCATGGCTATATCTGGGACCGTCACTACAACATCTGCCTAGCCAAGCTGCGGCATGAGGATGTGGTCAACTCGGTAGTCTTTAGCCCCCAGGAGCAGGAGCTCTTGTTGACAGCCAGCGATGATGCCACTATCAAAGCCTGGCGTTCACCACGCACTGTTCGTGTCCTCCAGGCCCCACGCCCACGCCCACGCCCCTTCTTCTCCTGGTTTGCCAGCCATAGGCGCTGAAGGCATCAGTGACTTGAGCCATTTGAACCCACTGGGGAAAATGATACCCCATGGTTCTTCACTGCATTGGGGCAGAGTAGCTCATAGCAGTAATGCCTTAGGAGGGGACAGCCTGACCCCAGCACACTCACATGCAACCTGCTCACTTAGCCATCAGGCTCAGCATTAGGGTAGCCCTTGTTGGCAGCACCAGAGATCCCATGTCAGCCTCTTGGCCAGCTTGGGGTATATGGGACAATGGAAGTCCTGTTCTTCACTTACCCTCTTCCCCTGGGCTCACAGAGCTCCAGGCTGACCACTACCTGGTTACCTTTTATGCTCAGCAAAACCCACACCCTTGGATATCCCGAGTGTACCCTGGGTGACAGGCCATAGGCTCTGGCCTCTGATAATTTGATTTACGCTACTGATTGAGTGGCCTGCTGTGGACCAGGGGTGCTGCATGTTGCACTCATTAACTGTTTGGGTTAATGAATAAACAGTTGGCAACAGCTCATGCCATCTAGTCTGTTTATAGGGAGGGGCCCCAGGCTCTGCCAGCCAGTGTCATCCTGGTGATATCTGCCTCAGGGAACCTCCAGAAGTCTGAAGAGGAGTTCTGGTTCAGGTGTGTATCCCTGGCCTTCAGGGATGCCTGTCCATAACTGCTGGTGGATGCAGGAAGTGGACACAGCCAAGCCTAGTACAATGCCTGGGGTAGGGTAGGC